AATCCTCTTCTTCTCTTTTTTGATTCACTTTCCCCATTCTATAGGGCATGATAAAAGGAGTGTTTTAAAGGATAATCATAGTCTTACCTCTTTAACAGTTGGGTGGCCAAGCCTTATTTCCTTTTTCTAACCGGAAGTGACGTTTTTGTCAAAATGGCTGGCTTTTGGTTTGGTAGTGCCTCTTGCCTATTTTGATGATTTATGTCAAAACTAAGAATTCTACAGTTGCTTTTCTGTTCTCTGCACCTTTAGCATTGGATAAAGATATAGATAACTGATCTTCTACATTTATAATCAAGAACTGTTCTTGTTTCAGGCGCTTGTTTCCACTGTAAGGATTTAAAATGGCTGACACAAATATCATATTAAATTCTATAACTTGTGAAATAGAGCTAATGCATTCACAGTTACAAGGTAGCTATTAGTATTATAGATGCCTGTTATTCTGCAGAAGTTTCATTGCTCTAGGAGGAAGCAGAACGTTTTTCTAAGAAATAAAAGGTCCGAGCTAGTAGCCTAGCTATGTGTTTGTGTGTGTTTATCACTGTTGTATCCATGAGTTTAGCTTGTAATTCTTCATATATATGTAAATTATAGTTAATGCAGTGGTTTTTAACTTACTTTATACCTGTGTTTGGCAGGTATCCTGAGCTTTCATGATGGCTGCAATTTTGATTCATATTTGTACTCATTTGAACTGTGTTAAGCACCTGGTTGGCTATTTTGGCATTATAGATCAAGGTTATTGTGAGGACATAGACATTGATTGCAATTATTTTCTTCCTGGCTAAAGATATCATGATTTATTATAATTTTTATAATAAATTTTAATCAATTTAATTACACTTAACAATTTAAAAAATTGTAACTCCAGTATTCTTTTTAGTGCAATCATGAAATTTTGGTATGTGGTACTTAAAAGGTGTCTTTACAAGATAGTTGTTGTCTTATAACTATTCCTTGTGGCAGAATGTTTTTCTAAGAAATAGAATTATTGTGTTCAAAATTAGCTGTAAGTTCCCCAAAAAACAACATAGCTTTGCTGTTTTCATAAATGATGTGCTCTATTGATCAAGCACTTTATTTCTTATTGTTGCAAGTCCACTGCTCTGATAGTTCTCTGATTCTATCCAAGTTTCTGTGTATCTATATACGCTACCACCCACGCAGTTGCTCAATAAACGAGAAATAGGGTTATACACAATTTATATGGACTTCCGGTTGCTTGGCTGCCCGACTGGCTGAGCGTTACAACATAGATATTATAGACTACGTAACCGGGATTGGAAACTGATGACGTCACGTGTACAGACTGTGTGATTATTAATGCATGAAATTGCATGAATTTGCATCAAAATTAATGGTGAAAATCATGAAGAATTGTTATGTTTGATGAGCCGTATTAATAATGTACTGTGATGTAGCTGGTTCTAAGTAGCTTAATCGCATAAAGAAAATACCAGAGATCACGATGGTACCTTTCTCTTCGTGTCTCTATGCTTAGTTCGCTCGGGAGAGGTACAACAGATCGGCCGCTTTTTGGCGTTATTTTGGTGGATTTCTGCTCTCAGTAATATGGCAGGCAGAACTAACCAGTCTATTCTCATGTGGCATGGCCTTGTGCATAGTTTTAATCATAAAATGAAACTGGGGTAGCTAAAGCTTGTTTGCAGGAGGGAGAATAAGACATTATCTCTTGTCACGGGGAGCGCACTTGCTTTAAACACCTGTTTTTACACAGCTAAAACATTTTATTTTTGTATCAAAGAAAAATATAAACATGTGCGTATATTATAAGAGCCCAAGTACAGGTGAATAGCTTGCGGGACTTCACTAGAGACCATTCTTTCCAGCCATGTCAGGCATTTTC